TGGCCATTCTCACTTCCAAGGAGCATTCCAGCTGCACTTATTCCAAGATAGAATTATTTGTTCTTTTGGCAGTCCATAGTACTTTCAGTATTCTTCACCAACACCACAACTCAAAAGCATCAACTCTTCTTTGGTGTTCCTTGTTCATTGTCCAGCTCTCACATGCATGTGAGGCTATTGAAAATACCATGGCTTGGGTTAGGCACCCCTTAGTCTTCAAGGAGACATCTTTGTTCTTCAGCACTTGAAAGAGGTCTTTTGCATATTTGTTCAGTGCAATATGGCCTCTGATGTCTTGACTACTGCTTCAGTTGGTGTTGACTGTGGAACCAAGTAATATGAAATCCTTGACAACTTCAATCTTTTCTCCATATATTGGGATGCTACCTATTGGTTCAGTTGTGAGGATTTTCATTTTCTGTTGAGATGTCCATACTGCAGACTGAATTCTTTAATCTTCATCAGTAAGTGCTTCAAGTCATCCTCACTTTCAGTAAGCAAAGTTGTGTCATCTATGTATCGCAGGTTGTTAATGAGTCTTCCTCCAATCCTGATGCCATGCTCTTCTTCATATAGTCCAGATTCTCAGATTATTTGTTCAGCATACAGATTGAATAAGTATGGTGAAAGGATACAACCTTGGCACACTCCCTTTCTGATTTTAAACCATGCAGCATCCCTTTGTTCTTCCTAGTATTCCAGTTCTTCATAGCATTCTGTTACTATTCTTTTTATTTCTGTTGGTCCTGTTGTGATGTTGCCCATTTCTTTTTATTCCTAAAAATTAAATATTTATGCTCATCAAAAGAATTTTCTGAGGGAACAAAAAGGGAACCTATAAACTTGGGGAAAAAAATCTTTGGCAAAGACATCAGATAAGGGTCTTATCTCTAGAATATATAAAAAACTTAAATGACTCAACAACAAACAAACAGTCTGATTAAAAAAATACACAAAGGCTGAGGTCAGAAGAACTAGATGGTCCCCCACTAACACTGCAAGGTTCAAAAGGACACCTAATGGTGGATGGCCTGGGTAAGTCACCCAATTCCATGAACCCAAATATCTGGATTCCAGCAGAATCAAAATGATTTTGTCACAGGTTTGTTGTTGTGTTGTTGTTGGTAGGTGCCATCAAATTGGTTTTAACTCAGGAACCCTATGAACAACATAACAAAACACTGCCCGGTGCTGCACCATCCTCACAATCATTGCTATGCTTGAAACCAGTGTTGCAGCCACCATGTCAATCCATCACATTGAGGGCCTTCCTCTTTTTCAGTGACCCTCTATCAAGCATGATGTCCTTCTCCAGGGACTGGTCTCTCCTGGTAACATGTCCAAAGCATGTGACACAAAGTCTCACTATCCTCACTTCTAAGTAGCATTCTGGTTGTACTTCTTACAAGACAGAGCTATTTGTTCTTCTGGTAGCCCATGGTATATTCAATATTCTTTGCCAACACTGTAATTCAAAGGCATCCATTCTTCTTCAGTCTTCCTTATCCACTGTCCAATTTTCACATACTATTGAAATTACCAAGGTTTAGGTCAGGCGTACCATAGCCTTCAAAGTGACATCTTTGCTTTTTAACACTTTAAAGAGGTCTTTTGCGACAGATTTGCCCAATGCAATACTTCATTTGGTTTCTTGACTGCTGCTTCCAGGGGTATTGATTGTGGACCCAAGTAAAATGAAATCCTTGACTACTTCAATCTTTTTTCCATTTATTATAATGCTCTGGTAGTGTAGCACCTAAGGCACTTGACTGCTAACCAGAAGGCTGGAGGTTCAAACCCACCAGCCACTCCTCAGAAGGAAGGTTGGGCAATCTACTTCCATAGTGATACTGCCTCGGAAACTCAAGGATGGGTAGTTATGAGTCGGGGCCGACTCGACGGCACATAACAACAACGACAACACTGGTCCAGTTGTGAAGATTTTTGTTTTCTTTATGTTGAGGTATAATCCATACTGAAGGGTGTCATCTTTAATCTTCATCAGTGAGTACTTCAAGTCATCTTCACTTTCAGCAAGCAACGTTGTGCGATCTGCATATTATAGGTTGCTAATGAGACTTCCTGCAATCCTGATGACACGTTCTTCATATAGTCCAGTTTCTCAGATTATCTGCTCAGCATACAGATTGAATAATTCTAGTGAGAGGATACAACTCTAAGGCACACCTTTCCTGATTTTGGACCACGCAATGTCTTGTTCTGTTCAAACGACTGCCTCTTAGTCTATGTACAAGTTCCTCATGAGCACAAGTAAGTGTTTTGGAATTCCCATTCTTTGCAATGTTATCCATAATTTGTTATGATTCACACAGTCAAATGCCTTTGCATACTCAATAAAACATAGCTAAACATCCTTCTGGTAATCTCTGCTTTCAGACAAGATCCATCTAAAATCAGCATAGGTTCACTACCAGAATTAAATGAATTAAATGAGGTAATATGTGCAAAGTACTCAGAAGAGTGATCCATAATAAGCACTGTAGAAGTGTCAATGACACTGGTGGTTAATGACAGTATTTCCTTTCAGGATCAGGACTAGTGAACTGGTCATATTACTGAAGCCTCTTGTCATGACAGTGGTGACATAAATCAAGAAGAGTGAACTACTTTGTTTTTATGCAGCTAATGTGGGTGTTATATGGTTTTTACAAACCATGCAACCCCCTTCACGTTAGTTTCCTATGAGCACTATGTATGTTATATGTGTTTGTGCATTATTTATGTGGACATATGTTAAAAAGCACAGTAGTTAATCTATCAGGTTCTTTAAGCCTGAAAGTTCTATGAAACAAAACCTTTAATTCTCAATGCATTTGGCTCTATGCTGATCTTTTCTCTTCCTAAAACAAAAATCATAGTAAGCCAATAAGATAAATTGGCTGGTTTACTGAATACAGGTTTGTCCTGCTATCTGAAAGTAGAGAATTCCTATGAAAACTTCCTAAGCCCAAATGGTGTAAAGTGTAGAAGCATTACCATTAATTTATATGGAAATAATTTTGAGTATTCACAACC